ACTACAAAATATATCAGTATATAAATACAATATTTTTAGGCACACTTGGCTGGACACCCCCACTACTTACTAAAGAAAGCCCCCAGGTTATGATAGTTCATTATCATAACCATGTTAACACATATAATGAAGATACATACACATACAACTGCTAAACACTTAAGAAGGTGACATAGAGAAACCTAAGTCAGCCATGAAAATGAATGCATGTATTTAGTATAATATCTGTACAAAAACAATTGAAGTGAATTCCAGCTATCAGTGAAAGAATCTCAGCACTAATGTCTAGATCCTAAGGAAACTAGGCAGACAGCCGGTCCTGGAGGTGACTATATGTCATCATTGGAACCAAGGAGCTGTGAGGAAAACAACATCATGCGAAGCATCAGACTTAGCTTCTATCCTTTCTGTCTATGATGCCTCCTTCAGCTCCGGATGATTCGACTGTCTTTGATTCTGGAAATTCTTCTCCACTGGATCAATTAGTCAGAGAGTACCTCACCATAGAGGACACAATACTGCACTGGTACTTAGCAAGTCTCTATCACCAAGTAGAACACAAATTGTTTGTGAGCCAAACCTAAGCTCTAGCACTGGTAGGCTGTTTGAGGTACCATCTCCCCCATGTTGGAGATGTCAGGAACCTTCACAGGTGTTAGCTGGTGGGTAACAGTTTGTTTCTGGTGGTTTGATGGTTGGTGGGTGTTGGTTGGACTGTGAATCTTCTGCCAGCTCTTCACCAAAGATACATCCCAAGCATATGTAAAAACTGAGACATTCCAGATTGCCTTGAAAAATGAAATGATACAGGCATAGATTAACACGTCTGGACGCTTGAGAAGCTGGCAAGGAGAATAGCGTCACTTAGACACTTCAGGCGTTGGTAACAAAAGAAGTCCCTTGTATACTTGGGCAAGGAGTAAATCGGTTTCCAAGAAACATCAAATAACTCCCTGAATATATATCGAAGAGATATACATTTAAAAGTGGAGTTTAGTTAAAGTAACCAGAAAAGGCAGACATAATAATGTTGTCCAATAAAGGCCTATATATATAGATATAAGGGACTATATATTTCCGGGCGAGTCCAAGTTTGAATTTTGTGCAGATTACAGGTAAGACAGGTTATCAGCCTTACAGACCGATGCGTAATGGCTATCATTTCACGACACTGCACAAAGCTTGAAAACCTATGTCCTATCTCTTTCCGAGCACTCCAATTCTTCCTGTGTGCTTAGAAATGTTTGTCAATGAATTCCATAGAATTTTGACTAAAAAGCTCAACAAAATGGGAAAGAGGAAAACGTGCACAAAACATCACAACGTAACGTTTCAGCCGGGCAGCCTTTTTCAAACATAAGTGAAATACACAAACGAGGAATGGAGAGTATGTAGATCTCTAAGGGGTGACGTGAGCGACGTTTGAAAAAATGTGATGTGGAATAAATGAAATAAAATAAAATAAACGACGGCTAAAAAATATAGTCACAATACTGGGAATAAAAGAAATGCAAGTGTTAATGATACATAAATGCAACTGATAATAAATAGAATAAAGTAATAATATGAAATAAAATAAAATAATTAACATTTAAAATGTGACAAGATTAGAACTATTTAGATGAAGGTATGTCGGATATTGATATCATTTGGACTAAGAATGCCAAGGCTGTGGATAAGGCGATTTTCTAAAGCGAGGCGGGTAGTATGATCGCCAGAGCAAGATTTTAATGCTGTGACAGATATGTCATCTTTACCGCTGTGGTCAGAGCTATTAAAATGAAGAGGGATTGGTTTGAGTGTCTTCTTGTCGATATCGGAGAGGTGTTCCCGGAAACGATCAGCTATCTTCCTGCCAGTCTCCCCAATGTATGCCTTGCTGCATCGTTTGCAGATAATTGCATAAATTACGTTGCGGGATTCGCAAGTAAAAGGTTCCCTAATTTGAAAAAACCCATTAGGGAAACTGACCGAAGAAGTCTGGACAACGAAAGGACATGTCTTGCAGGTGCTGCGTGAGCACTGAGTAGTCCCAAAAGGAAGTGCTGTGTGGATTGGTGGGAGTCGGCTTCGGACAAGTATGTCTTTAAGGTTGCGGTCTCGTCTGTAAACTAATCTGGGTTTCTCACTAAAGATAATCTTGGTGTCCGGATCAGAGCGGAGGATGTCCAAATGACTAAAGAATACTTTGGAAGCAACCACATTGTTAGGGTGAAAAGTCAAGATCAATTTAGGTCTATCATTGGTGGAGTTACGTTTGGTAGGAAAAGCATCTCTCCTGGTGATTGCTAAAACTTTGTCTAGAGCCCCTTGTAGAATGTGTTCCGGATAGAAACGGGCACGGAAGAATTCAAGAAGTTCAACTGATTTATCAAAGAAGTCAGAATCATCAGAGCACAACCTGAGCAATCGAAGGAGCTGTGAATATGGAATAGAATTTTTACACGGTATTGGGCGAGAAGACGTATAGAGGAGATAACTGTGAGAATCCATGGATTTGTAGTAGGCTGTGGTTTTCAGACACGGGAAATCGATGCTAATCGTGATGTCAAGAAAGTTAACTGAAGTGGTGGAGATCAGTGAGGTGAATTTGATAGCCGGATTGAAATTGTTGCTGTAAGTAATAAATTGGTCAATCTCAACCTTGGACATTTCGGTGATACCAACGCCACCATCTATTTATCTCCTATACACCTACGGAAACTTGCCCGGGTATGATAAACTGACCTCGTATTCCAGGTGGCCCATAAAGAGGCACGCGTAACTAGGACCCATCTTGGTGCCCATCGCGACCCCACTGATCTGGTCAAAATACTCACCATTAAACTCAAAAGAGTTAAGGGTCAGTACCAGTTCGGCAAGGCGTACAAGAACTGAAGTAGGGATGATCGGGTTGGACCTTCTGTCCAAAAAGAACTGGAGTGCTCTAAGACCATCAGAGTGAGGGATAGACGTATAGAGAGAGCATGCGTCTATCAGGAAAAGATGATAGGTTTTACCGGGAAGGAGTCTGATGGATTCGAAAATATTGAGGGCATGGTTGGTGTCCTTGACAAATGAAGGGAGACTGGTGACAATCGGTTGGAAAATACTATCTAAAAATTCAGAAAGATACACCGTGGGACAGGAGCATGCAGATACAATGGGACGTCCAGAGTTGTTGGGCTTATGGATCTTAGGCAGCAAGTACATACACGATTTGCCAAGTTGGCTGTCAAAAACACGCATATTGTTGGCCTGCTTAGGAAGAGTACCCTGTGAAATAAATGATTGTAACGTGTCCTTGGCTTTCTTATTGTTGGAGACTGTGGGGTCGTCCCTCCTGGCGGAATAGAAAACGGGGTTTTCCGAGTTGGGATCCTCAAAATAAAGATCCTTTCTCCAAACCACTACAGCCACCCCCCCCCCCCCCCTTGTCAGCTGATTTTATAACAATATCGTTCCTCTTTCTGAGGGAATAGAGTGCCCGCCATTCACCTTTGGAGAGGTTGGATTTAGGTAAAGGCCTTTGTTCCAACTGTTGGATAGTATGGAGCGTGTGGCTGATGTATAGATCAAGCGCCCTAGATTTACCAGCAGGAGGAGTCCACTGTGAACGGGATTTGTTGGCCGTTGAAAGAAATGTAGTTTCGTCAATAGGCCCAGTGGGAGCGGGTGGTTGACCCCAGTGATGATGTTTCAGGCGTAGAAATGTTTGTCGCACTTTCTTTAACCTTTTTTACTGCAGCTCTCTTTAACTTGCAAGCCTGTTCTACTTCTGATGTCAGCCATTGAGGCTGCACAAAAGTAGATCTGATATTTCTCTTCCATGCCTTCTGTCGGAAGCGTCACATTTGAAAAAGTAAGAACAGACAATTAGTCCCAGCAGAATCCAGAAATATGCGCATGCAGTAAATGCATATGGCAGTTTCTAGAGGCGCATAAGCCAGCAGTCGCCACCACAAATGTAGTTTGTTGTTAATGGAAGTAGTCGGGCACGATAAGCTGGCTATACACACTTAAATTATAACATAATTATGTGACAGCCCAAGAGGCCACATGAACAGCTATTAATGCGAAGAAACCTAGCCAGCCATCAGTTAATAAAACCTTGCTTAGTCTTTTAGCGATATATTTGGCTTCCGTACCGATACCTGCAGGACACCGACCCAGCTGTTGCGGCTCTGCACATTGGGCTAGACAGCTTGAGTGCGGACGACTGGAGGGAAAGGCCATTGTCTGGCTGGTTTCACGGTACGTTTCATGAGCTTAGGCGGTATTAGATTTTGTTTCCATTATGCATCCTCGTTAGGAGATAGTTTGATGGCAGGTTGCTACAACTGATTTGTTTTTCATATTGAAGCTTAGCGTACATGTTAAATGTTTCGGTTTTTGCCATTGTTGAGGTAATCTCGCTGAGCGTATTGTGATATTATCATATGTCCTTGTTGGCTGGAGATGATTAGCACTTTAGATCCTGCTTCCGGTCAAGCCCTTGGTTGTTGTTAATATATTATTTGTGAAGTATACGTTAATTCTGTGTTCAGTTGAGTGAAATAAGCAGCTGTTTAATGTGATGATTATAATTCATTTGCTTGATTTAATTTAGGTTCGTCTGGGTGTATGTAACCATGTAGTTAGGTTGTCGTCATGTAACTCACTGTGCAGATATTCTTTGTCTGGGTCTTAGTAAAATATTCTAGGATCCCTGCGCAGAAGAACCCCTGCCTTTTCTTTACTTTCCTGTTTTTGCTGTTTAGGGGGTAACCATTACATTTTGTCCTAATCACAATTTTACTTTGTCTCCCCTACTTCGGTGCTTTTCCTTCTTCTTGCTTCCCGCTAGCACAATTACATAAGGTTAATCATTATATGCTCTATTCGCCACTAAAATAAAACAGGTTCTTCAACTTGAAAAACCAAATCAAAGATAAATTCATTTTCCTATATAATGAAATGACTCACAAAACAATAAGAGTACATGAGTGATAAATGTGTCTCTTGTGTATGATACACACTATCTATTGAGCAATGAAAACATAGAGCTCTGTTGTATAAGGTACGGTAATGTTGTTCAAGTCCAGACCCGGCCAGTTTATTAAAATCTGTCGAAGTTGATGGGCGTAAGCATCCCGTTCTACTGCTGGAAGCAGGTTGTAAGAAACGGCTGTCAAGTGTGACAAAACTTTTTCAATATCACCCTGAAATTTGACACCAGCAAGTGACTTATGCCAGAGTAATTTAAAATCCTCTGATGTATCTATGTCCTTGCGCCATTGCATGGTGTTAAACAAATCATTCAATGACCCACCAATCCTTTTAACTACCTCTTGCCTCTGTTCGTAGAATGCAGACATCCATCCATGACCAAACTGTTTCATGTTCCAAATCAGTATAAGTTTACCTCCAGGTATTAGAACATTGTGAATACTTTTTAGGTTTTCCATACCGGAAAACCAATGAAAACTATGAGCACAAACAACACTACCTACGGCGTTGTCTACCAGAGGGATGCTATCAGCAGTGGCCATGGCAACATCAACATTCAGAACTTTAGATTTCAAGATCTTGAGGAAATTTTCAGATGGCTCTGTGGCCAGGTATTTCATATGACTCGGCAGCTTCATGCTGAGGCTCTCAGTCAATTTTCCTGTCCCAGATGCAAGTTCTAGTACGTCATATTTCAGATCTCGTGTTTTAGCTGCTTCTGAGGTAGCAATGATCTCAGACACAATGAGATCAACAGATTCATCTGTGTAGCCTGGACGACGAGCATCATAACTGTCACCGCCTGTTTTGAACCCCAGGGCAGCCGGTTTTCTCATGTGTCCAATGAAAGGCACGGATCTTTTCTGAGAATAAGGGAGAGCAATCGGGAGAAATCCTGATGGAATATTTAGTGACGCAAACCGATTACGTTTGAATAAATTTGATATATTTGAACAAGAATATGATACTTTTCCCATCCTGATCGTACGTCTGCTTGTTGATAAACGCTGAATCAACATACTGTCGAAGGTTGCCATATCCTTGTGTCTGAAAAAATGATTCAATACGTAATTAAATGCAGAGTTGGAATACTGAAGTCGCTAAATAAATGGTGTATTATTGACAAACAATTATGATTTTATAGCCCTGCCCAGGCTGGACTTCCGGTTACTTCATAACCATCAGTAGAGTAAGTAAAGGAACCTTTTCTACTCCTTTAGGCGTCTAGGGCTTATAGGGCTAGAACCTATATTTTATAGACCAATCGGCACAAGATGGGTGATGTGTTTAGCATCACACCGGCGGCCTTTACTTCCCGGGACAACAGCCGGTACCCATTCAAGGATGGGTTGACCTGGGATATCCGCCAGGGGTCCTAATATAGCCTTACGGCTGAACGGGGTTTCCGGGACTTGACTGGGGAAATTCTTATCCGTGTAATTATTCATCGCACTTTGCGTCACATGGTGTTACTCGCGCAGTGAGTGGTCCTGAAAGTTGAAGAATTTGGGATATGTCAAGCATTATGGTGGTCTCGAGAAAATGGTGATGGAGGATGCAGTTTCCAGAAAACGAGGCTGAGGCCTACCATCGCAAATATGGATACAGGACATTGAAGATGTACTGGCTATTAAAGCTCACAGGGCTGGAGAACTGGCTGGAGAAAGAGACTTTTAGACGTGCAGTAAAGACAGAGACGTTCTGTACAAGACATGCTATTTTTTGTAGGGACGGACAAATTGTCTCAATATTAAACACAAATTGAAATACTTAGAATCTAAGTAATCAATGTAAATACTTCAAAAAGATTTGTTGAGTAACGATTACCTCTGAGCCTACCTATCACTGCAAATCTAACAATAGCAATGACGTTGATGGTGCTTGGACCCGTGCACATTTTCATTGTGAACCATACAAAGATTATGGCTTGAAGGCATGCATATTGTTATCCCAGTGCCAACAGAATATTTCGGTTCTTTCGTGTTTTACTTCAAGCAATCATATGACCGTGATAACACTTAAAGGGATCCTTACAATGTGATAAAACCTCTGAAACAATGTTATCATTTACTTAGAACACATATGACACACAGAAAGATGGCCTTGTGTACCAAGGCAAATCTTATAAAAACAACCTTTGGCTAATGTTATGCTATCAATGTCAAGCATGGACTCTTTTTACAAGTATTAAGCTCAAAATCATAACAAGCATAAGATGCATGAGAGCTGCCGGCGCAACAAAAGGGGATCAATTTAAAAATAAAATTCCTTCTTCTTCTTTCGTTCCCTTGAAATAGAATATCTATATCTGCAATGATGTCTCTAGTATGAACTTCGCTGTCTTGTGTAATTCAATCAGCGACCTGTAAAGTTTGACTTGCACCGATGTTTCTCTTGGCCAAAAGTTTTGCCTTGACTTGTTGTATTTGGGACAGTCTTGGAGGACATGATCTGTTGTAAAATAATAAAATTAGAAGGCTAGGGCTGAAACCAGTCGTACAGCATTAAACAGCAATAAGTGAATTGTCAGGATGTCTGGCGAGAACGCCCTGACACCAGCTATCACAGAGATCCAAACCCGAAGAAACATAATGAACACAGAACAAGGGGAAGACCATGCAAGAGGGGATTTCGGTATCAAGGGCAGCCTTTAAGAAATGAGGACCAATTTATACAACGCAATAAAAAGAGCACACAGCAGGTCATTACATCCCCCAACACTTCCAGGCAGTAACTGAGGAAAGATACGATTTTACTGTCAGATAATAACAATGAAAGTGCAAATCCTTTTGTTTAGTAAAAGCTTAACATATGATAAAATCAATAATGTAGAGTTTTAGGAGAGAACAAGTTCCAGTGTAAGAACAAGTAAGACGCTGGCGTTGGATAGGACACACGTTGAGAAAACCAAAGAAAATATAACTATAATGTCTTTGCACTGGAACCCACAGAGGCATGGGAACAAGGGAAGACCAAAAACCACATGGAGAAGGGAGCTAGAGAGTGAAGTTAAAAAGATGGGGTGGACATGGCGAGAGTTGTATGCGATAGCAAGGGATGGTGTGAGTTGGTTGAGGTCCTATGCTCCACTGGGGTTTAGAAAGGCAGAAGAATAGTAGTGACAGTATTAATTTGCGTCTGACTGACAGTCACTCCACCACTTCCACCCCTCTTTCTTGGCTGCTGCCTGGAGATTGACACTCCTGCGACTCGAATAGCAGCAAGTTAATCAACAGGATAAATCACAAATGCCTTATTCAACCTAAGATAGCACCCGTGACGACTAGACCTATTACGCCAGTGAACAGATAGATATTCGAAAGCTATTTGTATGACAATTTGAATACACAGTTTCTTATTGATTTTAATATGCAAATTTCAAATATTATAATAGAATTCTCTAATGAGCTTTTATTTTTTTAACTATGAAATTAAATGGCAGTCTTGAACCCAAAAGCACCGCAATGTTTTCTGGTAAATTCGAATCTCTTACGAAATCATTCAGTTTACTTTGTGTTATAAAGTTTGGTGATATAGTTTGCTCAGAATCTTGGTCGCCTGAAGTTGGTGTTTCAGGGGCACCAATTCCCCCTTCCTAATCAGTAGAAGCTGCTGAAAATAATTCCGGCACTCTGGGGAACTGGTTGCTCATCGTCATATGGAACCGGGCGTATTACAGAGGGGATGTTTGGACATTCTAGAGTTCGTTTGAAAAAAAAATGTATTTTATATGCCTTTCCCAACTGGATGGCCCATGAACAAGTAACAGCTGAGATGATCAGTGGGCTTTCTCCAAATCTGCAGAAGGCATAGCCAGTCTTTTCAAGTCAGCCAGTTAAAGATGTGTTGCACATGTACTGCGGCATATGTGTTGCGCCCAGCTCCTTTCTTGATCTCCTATTCTGCATTCAATATACACTTTTTATTTTTTCTTAACCATTTTAGTTATATTTCGTTTTTTGTGATAGAAATGTCACCTCGCCACACATATAATAGAAATTATTTGCGCTGTTCACACATGTCCTCGGCATTTCTAGCTATGACACATTTGATAAGGACAAATGCACTGAATAATGGCAAAGTTTTATCAGAGATAATATATTTATACACAAAGGTAATGTAATTATAGGTAGGATTACATCGTCAACTTCTGGTTACAGTTTTATTGGATATGCCAAGAATCGTGGTTGTTGGGCATAACACAAACAACCTACGATATGCAGATGACACCGTCTTGATAGCGACAAGTCAGAAAGAACCACAGGAATTGATAGAGGCGGTGGTGGTAAAAAGTGTTTAATGGACCTGAGTTTGAAAAATGGAAAGACAGAAGTAATGGTTATTTACAAAAAAAGAATAGTGCCTAAATGATTAATAAATGTCAAAGGCGTTATTTTAGGACAAGTACATAAATTTTAGTATCTTAGCACATGGATAACATCAGATGGAAGATGTGTCACATAGATAAAGAATATAATAGGACAGGCCAAAACTGCATTTTACAAAATGAAGAACACTTTATGCAATAAATCCATGCCCTTGAAGGTTATGAAAACAATCCTCGCATGCTATGTAGAACCAGTTTTAACATACGGCAATGAAGCCGTATTATTAAAAATGACGAACGATATCTGGATGCAGCGGAGATGTGGTTTTACAGAACAATCCTTAGAATCCCTAAACAAATGAGAAGAGCACCCAAGATGTTTTGAAAGAGACGAATGCGGAAAGACAGCTTATCACACACATCAGAAAGAGACAGTCATCATATTTTAGTCATGTTATCAGAAGACGGAAAATGGAACATGTTGTGACCACTAGAAAGATCTAAGAAAAAAAAAAAAAAAAAAAAACCCAGAGGAAGACAGCTTGGGAAGATTCTTGACAGTCTTTTGTCATATTATGGAGGAATGCCAGCACACAAACTGATACAGGCAGGTGAAGATCGCGGATTGTGCAAAGGCATGATTGCCAACACCATTCGGCACGGCACTTGATGATAATGAAAAAAAATATACTTCTTCTTCTTCTTCATAATGTCCATGTCGTGTGGCGTTGGTAGTCATATCTATCCACAACCTTCTGTCTCATGTACTTTCAATCAGCTCTGACACAGATGATCCTCTGTGCTATGACGTCAAACTGTCCAGCATCTTTTCTCTCGATCTTCCTCTGCCTCTCCTTCCCTCCAGCTTTCCTACTGTCACGATGTACTTTAGTTTTTTCCTTCTCATCACATGACCAAAGAATGTAGTCTCTTTCTGATGTGGGCAATCAGTTCTCTTCGTGAGTCAGTTTATTTCAAGACATCCTCGTTACTGTTTTTATCTGTCTATATTATTTTTTCATCCTTCTAAAAAACCACACCTCCGCAGCTTCCAAATAATTTTTAACTAAACTACCAACTGCCCACGATTCACTTCAATATATCAAGAAATGATTTTTAAAGCTTTTAAGAATTCTCTTCCTCGTCTCAACTGACAAAGAAATATTACATAAAATATTCTCAGTTTGGTAAAATATTGTTTTTGCTTGAGCTACATGTAACTTCTTCAATACGTCTCCCATTTGATATTATCAGGGTACTCAAGTACTAAAACATAAAATGCTACTAGTATATTTTGACTATTTTGAGCAAAGTCAATATATATATACTATTAGCATATATATAGAAAACTAGAGTGAATCAACATTTTTTAAAGTCATTTTTATTTTCAGCGCACTATATTTAGTTAAGATCGGTTATTTTTTTTCGGGGGTGGGGGGGGGGGGGGGGGAGCACATTCTGGTTGTTGACTAGTAATATTATCCCGGCGCACCTCGCAAACCCTTAGCAAACAAAAGTGGCTGTATTAAAC